ATTTGCCTGAATATGAAAATGGAATTGTTTTACTTTTACTGGTTTTGCATGCACAGTGGTTAGAAGGGAACATACTGACTATTTGTAATGGTAGTGTGGTTAATGTTACCAAGATCGACACACAGAGATGGAGAGAAATAGACACTGCCATTTTATAGAGCATTAAAGATACGATTATTAGACAACACAGGAACAGCAGCAGCAGCCTCATATTTACGCAAAATGACAAAATATTCACTGCATATCACTGCTCAGAGACAACATCTTCACAGAGATAAAGTCCCAAAACCAGGCTATCATATGAACCCATAGTTCCAAACCTAACCTTTCGTACCTTCTATTTATTCCCTAGACAGGGAGCAAGCCCTGTGTACCCCTGGGTACACGGGACTTGCTCCCAGTCTAGGGAATAAATAGAATAAATAAAGGGGGCCCTTTATTGGCACTTTATGTCAAATTAAAGAAAATGCAACATTAAGAACTCTGGCAGTGTGAGGGTGTTGTGGATTTAGTCACTGCAGCTGAATCTGTTATTCATTACTTTGTTTCCTATGTTATAAAAGATGGCAGTGTCCGATTCCCTCTATCTTAGTACATTGGGACAATATGTAGTATAAGGTAGTGGCAGAGTGGACAATATGTAGTATAAGGTAGTAGCAGAGTTGGGTAATAGAACCTACATGAAATGATAGAATAATACAAACAAAGACAAAGTTCTTCTATGGCAATAAGTGTGCAAATGCTTCCCAAGGGTGCTGGGCATATATATCACCACGGGAGTCCAGGGGGCAGAGCCCCCTGATTAGGAAATATATATCACAGTGTTTGGTTATGTTGGATGTAGGGTTAAGACGTTTTGTTTAACAACCACAGGGGTCCTGTTTTACCCTATAATTTCCCTGATATACTTCATGCCCTCCCCTGCTTTTGGGACTATCAAATCAAGATAGTCAAAGTAGATGGTGATCATATCTCCTCAACGATTCATTTGCACAAGGAACAATGCCTAGAATCACTGAAAGCAGTGAATTTCATGTAGAAAAATATCAAAATTGTTTCAAAAGTAACCCACTGCTCTCTTCTACATATTGAACGGGGGAGGTCTCTCTTTTCTTTTACGTATAGCACCCTTGGGAAGCATTTGCACACGTATTGCCATAGAAGAACTTTGTCTTGGTTTGTATTTTTCTATCATTTCATGTAGTTTTTATTACCCAACCTTATACTACATATTGTCCGGCAGAGTTGGGTAATAAAATCTACATGAAATGATAAACACTAAAACTAAGACAAGTTCTTCTTGTCAATAGGCATACGGGGTCTCTCTTTTCTTTTACACGATATAGGCACCCTTGGGAAGCAATTTAGCACACGTATTTGCCATAGAACGAACTTTGTCTTGGTTTGTATTTTTCTATCATTTCATGTAGTTTTTATTACCCAACCTTATACTACATATTGTCCGGCAGAGTTGGGTAATAAAATCTACATGAAATGATAAAACACTAAAAACTAAGACAAAGTTCTTCTTTGGCAATATGTGCGCAAATGCTTCCCAAGGGTGCTACACGTAAAAGAAAAGAGAAGATCCCCCAAATTTGGCTAAGTCACTCATCTTGTTTATATTGCATATACTACCATGGGGGTCCAGGGGAATATATACCACATTGTTAGGTTAGGTTGGATGTTGGGTTAGGACGTTTTGTTTAACATGGGGGCCATGTTTTACCCCTGCCTGGCTAGGTGCATATACTACCACTGGGGTCCAGGGGGCAGAGCCCCCTGGCTAGGGAATATATACCACAGTGATAGGTTAGGTTGGATGTTGGGGTTAGGATATTTTGTTTAACAACCATGGGGTCCTACCTTACACCATAATTTCCCTGATATACTTCATGCCCTCCCCTGCTATCAGGGCTATCAAATCACGAAAACACATGTATAAAGTTGGTTCACTCTGTAGATATGAAATTTAAACAGATAGGCATTGTCAGTTATAAGGAAGCACAAAACCCCTGTTCTCCCTTCGACACCAGTAAGAAAGGCAGTAGAACCAAACTTTGGGTTATTCACAATGACAATTGCAATAACTCACGTTCGAACCCAGTCCCTGATTTTAAACGATAAATGCGATTTCTTACCAAATGGAATGTTCTTTCTCAATTATTTTCTATATCATTCATCTGCCTTCTTTACAGTGCCGCTTATCTCGCTCTCGCCACTTATCCAACATAGTGCCAGTAACTGACAGTCTGTCCCTCGTCTGCGCCAGAAGCAGCTGATCCGCTAGCCCTCAACCTTTCTGCAATGTATTTCATCTCCCTGAAGCCCTTGTGCGCAGACCTTCGGTATCCGTCAAGTTATGGTAGTCTCATCGTTTGTTCAGTACTATCCTACACCGTTTACTACCTACGAAAGCGAAAGCAACTCACTCAGAGCGAGGTATTAGCCAGAGGAATGAACAGCCATAGCAGAGTTTGAGAGCAGTTTTACGTGTACGAGGTTGTAGTGTCCGAAACAGATCAAGACCTTTTATTTGGCTACTATTTTCTCTTGGTTTAAGGTCAGAAAGAAAATAGGAATAACGCCATCATTATTATATAACGTGAATAATGATTGTTTCTCTACAAAAACATCTCAAACTAGTGACATTTATTTTTTAATTACAGATACATACTTTGCCATCCTAAGAAATCGAACACCATTGTCAAAGTTGGAGAAACAACTAAGCCGTTGGTTCTTACCAACGAAATTATTATGATTTCTTCCTTGGTAGTATTAATATCGAATAAATATTTTCATATATCTTAATTTTGTAAAATACTTCATATCTTTGTATACACAATCAATTCTCTACCAGTATATCTTAACCTGTGGTATGTCTGAAAATAGGCCGGCCTATTTTGAGGTACCGGGCTCTTCTATTACACTGAATGGGTATTAGAAGAATAGATTCCCAGAATATTTACATATGCAATCATTCATCCATACATACATGTATACACACATACATGCATAATTATATATAGATCCTCAAATAAGCTCTTCAAGACCTTTGTTCAGGCAAGATACAAATCAAAAGTATAAAATTTAGAAACCCAGCGGATTAATTACGAATATCAGGAATAGGGTTAATATAAAAACAGGCTCTCAAAGCTCAAGTGACTATCCATATACGCAGTAATTACAGAAGTAATTGCAACACTAGAAATAAAAATGAGCATAAAAAACATAAAGAGAGAGAGAGCGATAAAAATGCATAAGAATGCACGGACCTTGCAGCAATTAAGTAGCAAACCTAACCAAAGCTGTCAACCACAGCAAATTTCGAAAGTATGGAATATGCACCAATTAATTTAGTACTCAGTGTGGATATTTATTAAATATCTTCACACTGTTAGCGAAAAAAATATCTATGATACACCAAATTCTTTTCAGCCTGGGGAACAGGCAGACAGCAGATTATCAACGTATTACGTCTAATAGAGAAAAGAAATGTGCACAATATGTCCCTTGATGAGTACAGAATGGGCCTATGACTCGGTACAGTTATCTGCAGTGACAGACGCGAGGTCTACTGTAAATTAATGGAAAATCCATAAAGATATTTACTCGCAACCATCCACCTGATTGAAGAAAATAATAAAAACGTAGTTGAAATCCCATGAAATATGGAGATACCATTTCACTAAAACTGTTTACACGCTATGTGCCTTTATATCCTGTATATCAACATCTCTGAATGAATTCTAAATCTTGCCCGCGTCAGTTAAACGAAGATTCAGTAACACTAATGCAGGTTTAGTTTTCTGAAACCTCTTTGGCATTCATTAAACCTTAAGAGCACCAGGGAGCAATGTTATCATCCAGTATTTTTAGGAAGGGATGTTTTGGTTCCAAGGTGGATTTTGAACACATTTAGGCGTCCTAAAGAACTTTGATGTATTCTATAATGCGCATGCGCAATGGCAGCATCCAGCATTAAATTCATTCCGGACCAAACTTTACTTCTGAGCTTAATCCTTCACATGCGCAGAACGAGCTACTTGATCCCAACAATCATGTAGATATGTCATGACAACGTCAACTCCATAGAAAAGATGAAGTTGAGTTGCCAATAATATTTATAATAAACAATAACGAAACAAATTCTGACATTTTCATGGCAAAGATTGACATGAAAATTCAACAATATATATTTTTATATGTCGTTGGATATTCAAATTGTAGATATAACTCTCAACATTGAAAAGAAAAACGAAAAGAAAATCCCACAGAGAATTCCATGGTTTACAGGCACAGAATGGCAATGTTAATTTCAGGTTGGAAAAACATTCCCAATTCATGCAATATTTACAAAGTTCCTGCTTCTTTAAACTATAGTGACTTCAAAACCGCGTGGACATTTGTTATCATGATCCTCGCTACCAACACCCTGAAAGAAACTACCTTCCTCGTGTGACCTACGCGGTCACACGAGGAAAGAGCTCTCGGAGAAAACTCCCGCGAATATAAATTGGTATTACGAGTATCTCATATTTGTTTGACTCCTTCATTTCGGTTGTCTACAATATTTATGGACTATTCAAAGCCACCTACATAATTTCATTTGGAATGACACAGATATATATCGGCAAGATACAATACTAGCGTATGATATTTAGCTTGTATAATATAATATTTAACATACCCGCTTTTTCATGTAAAACAGCAGGTTTACTGATAATCGCATTACCTCGCATAGTCTTGCAGCTTCTGTGCCCCCCTAACGGCAGCCACCTTGCCGTGGTGGTGGTGGTGGGGGGGGGGGGGATTGAGGTCCCAATGATGGTGAGCGGGGCCAGAGGGCTACCCATACTGAAGGGTACATCAGCACTGTAACTTCCTCACTACTCCTGTGACTGTTGGGAGATTTTGAGTTCCAACTATAGCTTCCCCTCATTGAACTCCATGGGGGGTGGGAGGAAATAAAGAATTCTAATTTGTTTGATTTCTACATC